TAGTATATTGTAAATATCTAATAAAAAGTTTCCATTATTATTATTATTATTATTATTATTATTATTATTATTATTATTATTATTATTATTATTATTATTATTATTATTATTATTAGCAAACTTCCGAAAAACATTTTTAACTTCACCATCCGATATATCAATAACACACTTCCAACACGAAAGAACCTATCAAAATGGGGACTATCATCAACATCCGATTGCTCTTTCTGCTCCTCACCTGAAACGCTGCTCCATAATATCTCGCACAAATCGCATTTTTGCTTCTGGAGAACAATTCGAAGAGATCTAAAATATTACAAATTTAAAACGTCATTTAAACGGAAACATGGATCAGTTAAGATGTTATTGTGAATGAAAACACATGGCCAGAAATCTGAGACAGCATGGCCGCCGCGCACGCGCATCGTATCAAATTCGAGTAATAGAAAATTTGGCTGACATAAAATCCTACTAGTAAATAGTATAAGGTTTCTGTGCTCCTCAACTATGTTTACCGATTTAACGAAATGTATTAAGAAAATTAACGTCCCACAAATCTTAAACTACAGTTTATTTGGTATTCTTTCAAAAAAAATTATAATATTATTATACATGACTAGAGCAACATTGTTCCATTTTCACGTTTGCATTAGACTACGAAATTAGAAACCCCCCATACTAGCTTCATCATTCATGCAAAATTATCGTAAACTTGATGCAAACACGCGCTTCTTGCGCTTTTGCACAATAGTTTGCTTTACCCCCACAAATCTGTATATGATGTTTACATGTTAGTCTTCATTTTGCACGTAAAATAAGTGCCTTATTTTGTGCTCTAACCTGTTCCAAATCGCTTTGAAAAACTGCACAATATCGACAGTGATCATAGCACGCGTTATGGCCATTGATTGAAATTGTACGACGAGAAACTTGCCAATTTCTTGTTCTATTTTGATTTTTCCGATCGTATAGTTCGCCATGTTATTTCAGGAATGTCTGTAGGGGTTTCCCCTAAGCTTTGACACCGCCTGGCACGCCTGGCAGTTGTAAACATGTCGCAATACATCATTTTTAAAGTAAAATGTCGTACAATTTGTCTAAAAATCGCTGGTCTTTTGGGGATGAAATCATGCTTAGTCAACCGGATTTACGGTATGCAGCTAAGAATAATGAAAGAAAGATAATTTGTTCGCTGGATATACCTTTATATCCCCTTTTGAAAGAGTAAAGACTATTAATATAAAGCCAAATTCAAGCCTGACGCCGACGAGTCAACCACATACCAACTCTGATCGCCCATCGCCATCGAGTTCTGATCCAACTTCGGCGTACGGCTAATCAAGGCAAGTCCGTGAATTTTGTCGATCTGTTAGAATATTGTGTTCCTGACAGATTTTTTTTTTTATAAGGACCGATATATTAGTGAGAGAAAAAGTATTAAATGAAACACTTACAAAAATTGCTGGTGGTGTGGCACAACTTTATAGGAAGAGCAGGGGAAGAGTTCGAATAGATTTGGATAAACGGGTCAGAAAATTGCATTTATTTGAAATTAAGAACGTTCAAGACGAGTTAAGAGAATGGAAAGGGAAATGCATCAATTTGGAAGGCGCAAGCTACCCGCCATCTTTGTGAATATTAACTAGAAAGGCATGACGTATCTCAAAATCTTCGAGCCAGCAAGCAAAACTGTAGGCTCAGATTCCAGCCGTTGTGTTCTCGCTACTCGCCCACTTAACGGCTGGGTCAATGGTTAATATTTCTTGTCTGTGACGTCAAGGTTAATATTTAAATTTATGCATATGTTTTGCATAATTATGTATTTCTGTGCAATGTAAAATGGCGGCTGTCAGGAGCGAACAATTTTGTTTCGAAGAGGAAATAGCAAATTTTAACAACTTTGTGCATTCATCGATAACTTTTTTGTAAAGGAAAACAAAATGGAAGCTTTTAAGTTCATTTGACAAAATGTTATTAAGTTCTAGTATGTTTTTAACGAAGACAGGAACTGCAATGTACACGAGTCAATGAATAGTATATATCTAAATAGTAAAACAATAAACCCTACCAACAAAAGCAGGTGAATCTGAATAATTAACGTCTTATTTCAAACAAATAGTTTTTCAATGAATATTCTTTGAAGAGGAACATAAATTTAATGTTAATATTTGAGTTGTTTATAGACTATAATTTATATACGTAATGCAATTTTACGCCTTGTGATTAATATCCGGAAAAATTTTCTTTATGATCGATTTTGTTCGAGGGACAGTGAAGGAACTAAGTCTTTTATAGTCTGTCAAGATATGATCATTATGATGGTCTGGAAGCCTGCAAACTTCAAATACAAAATAGAAGACCTAGTGTTTGATGTTGAACTGTACCTTACTGTGCACCTTCATAGATTTGGTTAAACAGTCTTTTGATGTAGCAAGAATATTTGAAATTTAAAATGTTCTTGGCTTTATTTCGGTGTTGTATAAGTTGTCTGTACAATTGGAGGCCGGGTGTGCTCATCGACTCATATATGGTTCAGTGTATGACTGTTGACCAAGTCCGTAATCATTTGTAGCTACACACAGCAGTGAGGGGTATTATTGTGGTAATGGTGACAGGATATTGCCTTTCCAAATTGAAAAAAAATGATTTGATGAAATACCCCCCACCTTACACCCCTTTGCCAATGTTAAGGGGGGTGCATCCCCATGGAAGTAAATATATCCAGGGATGGATCCAGCATGATCTGGTAGGGGGGTGCTCTGCCAGCTCTGGTGCAGAGTTGTGTCGGTCATGTGTGCCACCCGCCCATCAACTTGCTTCACTACTGCAAAATCCTGCTTGACTACTGTATTTAAATTGTAATTGTTGTTCACATTTCACTTATCATCATGTTATTACTCAAATTATCTGTATGTCATTTTGTCTAATATTTTTTTTGCTTTATCATGAAAAATAGCACCCCCCCCTGCAGCCCCATCCCTGAATACATCTCTGCAGGAATGCAAGAAGAATTTGGCTTCTTTCCCCCCATGAAAACTTAATCCCCCATGCCAGGATAATTTTGGTGTTTAACATTTTAATATTTTCTAACTAAAGTGTTACTGCAACAAATTTTCTGAACCCTTGTTTATTAGCTTAAATAAATATTCAATCTTTCAGAACTAGCAATTTATCATGCTTTGTCATTCTCAGTCTGGCTTTCATATGAACAGCCGTTAAAAACACACATTGACATGACAACTATCCTTTTCTTAATACCATACTGACAAGGTTTCCAAAACTCAGCCTGAGAGCAAACATATTTGAGCTTGTTGAACAGACTAAATGCATATTTCACTGATGTCTGAATTTATAAAACATTGCATACTTTTATTCCATAAATCCTCTACTTAGGCTATCCAACAAGTCCCATTCTTTGCCCCTTCACAACAAAGAAACACATGATACCAATTGGATTTATTTATTGCCCTTCAAATAACTATGTGCCCACATTTATTCAATTAGTATTCATGGTAAATCATATTGTCAATATATAAAATAATATTGAATTTATTGTGCTTGTTTGTAATTAGCAATTAGCATATATGAGCACACTTATATATCAGTTTCAGTTCACAAATTACCTGCCCAGTCTAAAAAAATATTGTCAAATGGCCCAAACTAGCTTGTGGGAGATCTAACCATGCAAGCCTATTATTACCTAGCCATGGGCTCCATGAAAGGGCCTGTTTATAAAATCCCAGCTAGGCAGGATGAGGCAGTTTCCAAGATCCTGACTATCATATCAACTCGTGTTCAAAAATACATGTATATATTTGATGAACTCACTACCGAACATGTATAAACATGACATCCTAGCTGCCTGGCAAGGTTTCCCACTTTCCCATGCACCTGACAGGATCATATAAACATGTCTTAATATTAATTAAAATAAGCCTTTTAAATACTGCAATATCCTACATACTAATATACTATATGTCACAAAACTTTGCAAAATAACATTTTCTACTTTCCTGGCAATATGTCAGACCAGCCCAATAATAAACACATCCAGGTTTATTGTAAATATAATTATAAATGTCCAACTGAATCAGCAGAAACAGGGAGGGTTTCAAAGGACTAGGCCACCTAGCTAACTAAGCTAAAAAAAAAGAAAGGTTATTAATTTTGCTCAGCCACACGCAAAATATTCTTTGCCCTTTCATGACCAAGAATCCTCAATGAGATATATTATTTATATAAAACACAATATAAAAATATGTATAGGTTATTTTGAGGCAACGAGGGGATATGTGATTTATTCACCGAGGCGCGCAGCGCCGAGGTGAATAAACACATATCCCCGAGGTGCCTCAAAATAACGTACTTATTTTTCACACTGCGAGGTCGCGTTAATGAGTCAGAAAAGAAATAATTCTCAATGCCATATTGCTTTTGCGATGTTGTTTTTTCTCATTTTTTGTGCTTCAAAGACATTGCAGGTGAATATTAGAGGGGATTATTAATTGCAGGTGAATATTAGAGGGGATTATTAAACGGAAATTGAATAGAGTGGAATATTGAATATATTCCCCGATAAGAACAAAGGAAACCGAGCAGGGTGAAAAATAAGCAACGGATATTTCGAAAAGACGAAAACATTCCAGCGACTATTATTCGTAGAGAGACTTCGGTTCGTGTCGTAAAAATCGTCGGAATTACTCTTCCCCAAAAAATATCGCTTTAAAACGTATAAATATCGTTGAACAGATCTTTTTAAGTGCACATATTTGCACAACGCCGACCTCGAACGCTTCAGCAATGCGCTTTAGCCATATTTAATTTATTACCTTTGTGTTAAATTTATGCATTATTAATACAAATTTATGCCCCCCAAATTTTGGGGGGCTGTAATGTGATTGGTCAATCAGAACAATGCCGAAGCTCATTAACCCAGCCGTTAAGTGGGCGAGTAGCGAGAACACAACGGCTGGAATCTGAGCCTAGCAAAACTGCTGAATTTATGAAACCGCGTGCCAGACCGCTGACTGTCTCGGATTTCTAGCCATGAGCTGCGAACACGATGAGAATCAAATATCAGTGTATTGCCACAGTCGCGACAAAGTTGTATACACAACAGTCTTGAGAAGCTGTGTGCTTTTATTGAGTGTATCTTTATATTTTCCATTATGTATTACAAAAGTCAATAAGACATAATTATACACGATAGGAAGATAATTAGAGAAATATACACTGTTGTTATTGTTTAATATATCTGTAAATTGGGATATTTACAGATACTATTTACAGGAACAGTTACTTCCTATTCAAGTCCTTTCTGAGCGCTTTGCCTTTGGTATTTTTTGCTTCTCTTTTATTTTGTACTTTAACGGTGATCTACAGTCCGTATGTAAACAAAGCCTTTGTTTACATTTTTGTGTCCAAAATATTGAGCTTTATTCGACAACTATTTATATTTTCAAGCTTCTAGAGTATAATAAATTATCAAGAAACAACAATTAGGCTTTTCAAGAACTCAAAACATAGTTAAACTGTTTGTATCATAAAAAGTGTGCTCATTTGTGCACATGCGCAGATCGGACCGTAGATCACCTTTAAAGTACATATGAAAAAGATCTAACTTTTAAGTAGAGTTTTAACGATATCTTCCAAGCACAATTTTGGAGTTGCAGATGAACTGTCAACCCCAGAAGACAAAACAATGTTCTCCCATCACTTCACAACAGGAGAGTCGAGCACTGAATTGCAAATATGAACGTTCTGTATAGCCTAGGCTATAGGTATACTTCTTATTAATGTATCATTGTCATTGATCTTGTTGATTTCACCTCTGAAAGTAACTCAGAAACTTCAACAATATGAATTAAGTCGTCACAAGAGCATACAAACCCACCTCTGGTTCGAGCAGAAATAAAAGTATTTGTCGCTTCAGTTGACTTCAAGACTTGCAATAAGGCTTGAATTTCATCGTTGGACTGGGCTTTCTTTCATTGGTTTTTGTGAACAAGCTTTAATCAAAATATGGATATATTGCGAGTAAAGCTTGTTCACAAAACCGAACAACGAAAGGCCAGTCCAACGATGAAATTCAAGCCTAATTGCCTGAATATCGATGAAATTCAAGTCATGCAAAGACTTTTATTTCTGCTAGAACCGCAGAAGTGGGCTTGTGCAAAGCAATGTAGGACAATGGTCGGCATTCAGCTGAGTTCAAGTGTGGCTGGCGTGTCGTCTTGCGTTTTGTTCATTGTGGAAGTCTTATAGATGCCAACCAAAAAAACAGGCAGTTGAATCAGTACTAAGTTCGCTATTCTATAATCATCACACTTCAACAACTTTTCCAATGGAGGAATTAAGCCATAAAAGGTTTCGAGCAACTTGTCCTGATTCTTTTCCTTCCAAATTATCTCGTACATAGGAAGCAGAGCAGTAAACAGTGCTGCAATGGAACTCTCGTTGCCATATAGACCTTCGTTTATAATTCTAGCTTTGATTGCTTCAACAAAGCCATCAACTGTATCTTTGTCTAGATTGTCCTTGTATACCTCGGCAGTCTTGGGCTCGGCATGTTTAGAATTTGTACACCTTGTATATTAAAAGAGCACCTTCGATTTGCATATTTTACCGCATTTCTCGCACTCAAATGCCTTCTTGCCTTTGATTTCGTTTGCAGCTTAATTGAACTCATTGTCAATTTCATTTGTCTCCGTTTGAGCCACCAAAACATCAAACAAAAGGTTGAAACTGTCATCTGAATCGTCATCAGATAAATCGATCTCTTCGAGCCTTCCAATGCTTGCTTCATTTTCGCAGTCGTATTCGCTCATTTTGCTTTGTAAAAGACTGTTTCCTTCTCGACGAACTTGCCAGACAATAACGATAACAAACCTATTAAATGACCCTCCTCAAACAAAGCGAAATATGATATTTTATCCAGATATTTGATTTTTCCTAATAGAAAACTATATAAAAACACACGCAGCGTACCGCTTCATGGACACGTGACTTTTTTATTCTTTGATCCCCAACATAATTTGCCGCCGCCTTTGAAGTTTGCCGGCTAGCCCAACCATCGTTAATGAAATCAACTATATCCTGTATAAGAGGATCAAGAGTGCGTCGGCGCCGTCATACGGACATGGGAATAGCAACGGAGGTTGCTGAAAGTAATTTAATTATTAACCCTTGAACTTGGAATTTCATAACTAGATTAAATCATATACTACAATTAGGGTAATTGTTCACGGAACATGTTTCGTTCTTTCTTAAAATTAAGTTTTTTAACATTCTTAGTTAGTTTAGTATAATAGAGCATCTGATGCTAGACTCGACATTCGTGCGCGTGGGTTCTGGGAAAGTCAACGATCAGCCTTTTTTGATGTTTAGCGGTAAATATTTTAGCTATTTAGCTATTTAGCGGTAAATATTTTAATTATGTAGCGGTATATGTTCCAGAGTTTGCTTTTAAAATTTAACTGTACATATCAACAAACATTTAGATACTTTTTTAATTATACCTAAAGAACAGATTATTTAATATAGTCATTGATAACAAAAGCATTATTGTATATTTTGAAATGATGAAAAAGTTGTATTATTATTATTATTATTATTATTATTATTATTAATATTATTATTATTATTATTATTATTATTATTATTATTATTATTAATATTATTATTATTATTATTATTATTAATATTATTATTATTATTATTATTATTATTAATATTATTAAAATTATTATTATTATTATTATTATATACAGTGACCAGCAAGGTGGGCAGTTCACGCTCACGGCGCTCCTGTACTTTTTGAATAGTTCATGTAGTTTAACTGCACTAACATTAGTTTTGAGCTTTTGGAACTTCACCTTGAGTATGAAAGGGATCATTATGGTGCTTTGTGTGGTATTGATCGTTATTTTTCGGCAAATTTTGACCGGCAATGCAACGATATGTGAGTATTGTGGAAAGGATTTCAAATCGCTGGGCAGACATCAATGGCGTTGCAAATCACGAACTGGTGTCGGAAACTCACCTAATACGGAGAGAGCGTCTTCTTCAACATCTGCGGACAATAATACATGTACGGTAGGGTCGACTAATGTCGCAGGAGAAAGTTTTATGTGTTATTGTGGGCGTACATTTAATAGTTATCGTTCACTAAATTTACATCGCCGATCATGCTTTGTCCAGAATAACCCGTGCTTTGCTGAACTGTTTGCTCAACAAGATGATAGCATTACTATTGCAAATAGTAATGAAAGCATGACCGAAGTTCTGTTTCCGACCGATAAGTTTAAAGTGTTATCAGGAGTAAAACTTCCTCGATCGGATCTTAGTTGGAAAGCAGCTAACGAGTTTTTTCAGTCGCAATTCAGTGTTAGACCAGAGCTGCAAGACTTGGATTCGGAAATTGTATTCATGAATAACGTTATCTGGTCTTACTTTAAAGATACATGTGGTTTGGTAAAGTCGGCTAATAAATTTGAACACTATAGAAGTATGTCAAAATCAAAGTTAAAAAAATGCTTAAAAGATTTAAAATCGAACGGAGGCAGCTTGGAGGAAATAAAATTTGTCAGTAAGTTATTGCGAAAAAGAATGCAGTCAAGCGTTAATGACCAGCGGGATTATGAAAATGAAATGCTGGAACGGAAAAAATATTCCATCTGTCTGGAAGCACGCGGCGGCGATATTGATCCATAAAAAAGATTCAACTGAGGATCCTGCTAATTTCCGTCCTATCTGTCTAGAGCCTGTTTTGCTAAAAGTCATAACATCATTGCTAAGGAATAGAATCTTTAAGTTTGTTTGCGAAAACGAATTTATTCAGTCGGGAATCCAGAAAGGTTTTTGGCCTGGAATTTCGGGGACTATTGAACATACGGAATTATTATCACATATTATTAACCATGCCAGAAATAAGCAAAGATCTCTTGTAGTTACTTTAATTGATCTGAAAAATGCCTTTGGTGAGGTACATCATAAACTTATACGAACTATCTTGACAGCTCATCACATTCCTGAAGAAATTATATGCTTTGTTGAGAATCTCTACTCTGATTTCAGTATCTCAATTATTACGAAAGGGTTCATTACGAAACCAATTCAAGTGCAACGAGGCGTGTTACAAGGTGATTGTTTATCACCCTTGTTATTTAATCTTTGTGTAAATTCTTTGATTCACACAATAAACGACGCGAAATTAAAATGTCTTGGCTATGTAAATAACGCAACGATGTACCCTAGGCACTGGTTCCAATTTGCGGATGACACAGCAATATTAAGTGCACATGAAGAGGACAATCAATTGCTTTGTAATGTATTTAATAAATGGTCAACGTGGGCGGATTTGCATATTCGTGTTGAG